TTTATACATACATTCAAGCTTGGCCTTGTTACTTTTACTAAAAATACTTTGTTTTATAACACAATATTTTCAATTTTGTATTAGAAAAGCTATTTAGAAATATTAAAAATTAAATAATAAAAATAATATCAGAAACCAATTTATTATTTATATATATATTATTTATATATATATTATTTATGTATACAATAAATTATCCAAAATTCCTAAATTTGTAATTCCCGAATTTATGTTTATGAAAATAATAAGTTCCAAATTTACGAAGGACGGATATAAATGAAGAAATTAGTAATTTCCAATAATGATTATGCATTATACATTAAGGTGAGCTAAACAACTCATGAAACAAAGAAGGAATAATTTGGAATTTCCGCTTACAATACTTCGCTTTGGGAATTAATATCTATAATTACGTTAATTTGTTTTTCATCTCTAATTATATCAATTTAAAGTGTAAACATCAGTTAATCAATATTATATTTTTACTTCTCATGTAAAATAATGCTACAATATAGAAAAACGTTAGTCGTTAGTTAATACAGTGATTCTCAAAGTGTGGGTCGCGTAAAATATTGGGGGGTCCCAAAAAATAATGACAGATCAATTCTTGTTGTTTTTCTACACATACCCATTCTTCAGGGCGTCGCAGAAACTTTGTATGTCCAATATATTTACTATCATAATTTCAAGTATAATATTAATGACATCTATAATAAATAGTAAAATTCACTCTACATAAATTTATTTTTGTAACGGATTTTCAATGTCTAATTGAGAAAATGAAACGAATTATCCATTTGTGTCATTGGCATACTTTATACATCGCAGGTTTCACTTCACGATGCGTTCAAAATATAAAATAATAAACTTTATATTTATTATTATTACTATTTTCATTAAATATATATTTATTGGTCAAAATTATAACCAATGGGCTATCAACTAAGGATAAGTTTAATATTTTTTAAATTTCATAGAAAAGTATAGCAAGTTTTATCCAAACAGTTTTTTTAGAATATTGCAATAGAACGGATACGCTATGAAATTTAAACAATAGGTTATTTGTTATTGACGTAATAATACTTATATAATTAGAAAACAAAATATCAATCTTATTATTAACGTTACATTAAAGTAGCATAAAGTAGGTTAAACGCAAGCAACGGGTATTTTGACCCACATGTCCGAACGACTGTAGCAATAGATAACAAACTGCATAAAGCTCAGTAAATACTTGAAGAAAAAAAGAGAAGAACAAACATCATTATCCATATAAACAGCAATCGTTTCAACAAAATACACGGCGAACGCCATGCTCGAACGACTATCGAAGCAAATTGAACTTAACAACTTCATAATAATACTACCAGCATTTAGGCTGCTCAATCTATTATGTACGTATTATATATAAATACGAACGCGAAGAAAGGAAACCTTGGTGTAAATAATTGAATCAATTGAAAGCGTAGTATAGATTCGGATTAATTAGAGATGCGAGGAATGCAATTAAAATAATAATGTAGAAAAGAAATTCACTGTAATTGGACTTTCACTTTGGCTAGAAAGTCCGCATTTAATTTTTGAAACAAACATTAAATGTGGCGCAGCTTTATTCCGCATCGTGTATGTTTATTAATGAACACGAAGTTTTTATTTTTTCGATTATTATAAAACCGTATTTATGTGAAAGCAGCATGGTTATGTCATTATTAATTAACTCCTGATTATTTAATATATCTTGAATACATTTACTTTATATCTAGGCATTTTGTTTATCAAATATACTTGAGCGAAGACTGTAAAATATGTATTATTAAAGGTAAATGTCATATTCCAATATAACGTTATCTAAGTAATAAAAATATATCGTTATATAAATTTTCCTAAATAATATGTGTCGTAAGTGCAAAGAGACATCAATTACAGACAGTTCAGAAATACCATCGACAATCAAATAAAAAAAGAAGTATATTTCAATTCACAAATGGACAATCCCAGCTTTTGTTGCCCTTCATATGATTTGTATCAAATTCAATACAGCATCTGGCCTTGCCCAGACCAACACGGATTTGTTTGTAAAGCAGCTTTCATAAGTAACCATTTCATAACGGCATGTTTTACTTACTTTCTTATTTTTCGAGCGGTCCGACAAAACCATTTTACTGCAAGCTTATAAAAATAGAAATGGTTTTCGGAAGGCCGAAGCCGACCTATTATTATGCAATACGAATTGGTCAAGAGAATTCCTTTTAAATGACTAGAGGCAAAAGCAATTCATTACATTTTATAGACACATTTAAATCACATTATCTACAATACTTATTTTTTTGTTGCATGTCAAGTTTTATGTGTAAAATTGACGTTGTTTTTAAGTGATTTAGTAATTACAATTCATCAATCTAATAGAATTGAATTAATTTTAATATATACTAATATAGAAATAAGCATATACTAATATGTTTGAAAGCAAAATATATTGTAAACATAATATGCTATTATATTATGTGTAATATATACACGAGTATTTGCTAATCTTAAAAATAATGTGAAATTGAAAGTTCATTGCCGGAATTAATGACATCATCGATTTATATTTTTGGTTATTAGCTTAAAAAATATTCTTATACAAATTAAGTCTTCTCTTAATAATACAATATGTTTTATATTTCTATTACTTTATTACATCATGATACTTTTTCATTCATGAATATTTAAAGAAATGAAATATACTAAATATTAATTGAATATATAATAAAATTCCCAGAAATAACCTTTATAAGATAAGTTTGAATTTATTAACCTCATCTATATGAGTTAAACTCTTATCGCGAATGTTATCAATGGCCATTGATCAAAGACCAATTTGCAACTATAACACAAAAAAAGACATAAAAATTAAAAAGAAATAATCTTGTAAATATTTTCTTAATGTTTGTCTTATTCGTTAAATGCTTTCTAGGAGATTAATCTTAATCGAATAAAAGGTTGATTGTACTGCTTATAAATGACTTTCAACATCAATTACTTCTTAATGGTAATATGTAAACTATTGTTAAACGTTTATTTCAACACGCGTATACATATGTATTAAAAAAAATCGAAGTGAGATGAAATATTTCATCAAATTCATTCAGCATTGAATAATTCTTAACTTTAGATCTCCATTTGGCAAAAGCCTCGCAGCTACAGACACTAAAGCGTTAATACACTTTAACGTCAAAGTTATTTTTAAACTTAAACCTTGTTAAGTCAATGTTTTGAATTATTGACTATTTAAAATGAGAAATACCGATAATCATATACCGACAACAAATACTAGAAAGTATCCTTGCTTCGTATACAATAAAACCATACTTATTACTTCCTATAGCAAGAAGTAACATTGTCATTGTGTACACCACAACAACTTATTTTTCACTTTTATTTTTAGCATTTGCTAGATGCTAATATACAAGATGATATACAATTAACATGTTTTGGTGACAACAACATATGTTTTTTCTTAGAACAAATTTAGATTATTTTTCAAAGCATTATATTTAGATTTGATTTTTGGAAACTGCATGTAAATATTGAAAATAAGATGTTTAAAATATTCTAGTATTCATAATTTCGATTGATTAAATTAATTTTAAAGTAATATAAACATAAGTTTAATCAATGTAATTTTATACCTATATCAGTATGGTTTTGGGATCACTGACTCAGAGTTTGATTCATTACTTATTTAATTCAGAATATTGTAGAGAAAAGTTTACATCACAAGGCTGAAAGACTAGTTATTTCATGTATGCAATAAATAATTGTTATAAAGTTTGTGTACTTTGATAAAAAAAATATTAGGATTTGTTTTATATTTAACTTAAGTTATTGTTAGTAGTGTGATATTTTTGATTAAATTGCATTTTATAGAAACTAGTAATCAGGTGTCATATTATTGTTACCTCTGTATTTGTGTAATAAGTACTCCAAGCTGCTCGTAAGGACTGCTGTCCACCCAGATCCCACATAATAAAATGAATGTTCCTCCAAACAACCTCCTCAACATTTGATCCAATGGTGGGACTGGTGTGCACAACTTCATTCATTAAAAACTGGTACAGTATAGTTGTCTTGCCAGCATTGTCCAAGCCGACAATAACAATCTTGTGCTCTGAAAGTACAGCAAATAATTAGCAACTGAATGTAAAACATGAAAGACAATCAATGTGCTTACCTTCATTGCCGAAGAGGCTCCACAACTTTGAGAATAAAAGTCCCATTGCTTTGATCGATGCTCTTGAAACCAAACTCAAACTTGAACTTAGTGTTTTACATTAACATCAAAGTAATCTAAACGCTACTAAAATTAATGTAAAAGGTAAACTAAACTAAACAAAAACAAGGGCTATTTTGGTATAAAACTGAATTTCATAAATATCACGTCACTGTCACATTGGCACGAGACTTAATAGGAGCAAACAAAAACATGAGTGAACGGTGCGCAATTGGCGGACACAGGATTGTTCTGTTTGTTAAATTCTCTCTTCAATTTGTGAATTCCAATCATATGGTTAACGCCATTGTGACGTCAGCGTCAGCCTTTGTGTGTGAGAGAGTGTGTGGATTCTGATGGCCGTCCGACGACGCGCACTTCGGGGCAACTCGAGATAAACTAACTCAACTCAACTGACTGGCATTGGGACTGATTGGGACGATTGGGACTGCCTTCGTTTCGTTAGAACTTACGTGCTTACTCACTCCACAGCTATTGCCAGTTCGTAGGTGGTGGTAAAACGGAATTCTTAATGAAAAAACGTGATGAATAATCAGATAGATACAATATGTACTTATCAAGCACAATTTATGTATCATTCTTATATACCCATTACGTGTGACCTTTCCGTTTTGGTAATTTCCACTAGATCCTTGGTTGTACGCTTATCAGAAGCGCAACCTTATCACGGATGAATCCATTGATTAGCATAGACAGTGACGCACAACAATTATATATTTTTTTGGTCGTTGCCAATCTTGCATTTCATTTTTCTGCTATCTACTAAAACCAGTAATTACTCCATATGCATAATCTTTATATGCAACTAGAACTGTTTGCTAAGGTTGCACAACGCACCAATAATTACCGTATTTTCTGACCATAAGACCCACTTTACCACATAGAAGTATTCGACTTAGAATGGGGCTGCATCTCTTATACAATAATGTTTTACTTATTAAAATTGCTTCATAAATTTGAGGTATCATCAAAAAAATACGGTACTTTGTATTGTTTGTTAGATAATTATGAGTAGCGCATTATTCAATCAATTGAAGTTCTACGTTTTTTATTTGTTTATATTGCGTTATCAGCCATATGGGCAGACTTTCATATTTGTTTATCAGATTAGGTGTTTTTCGTTGATTTTGTGACATGATTGTATTTATGGAAACAATCAACTAGCTACATCAAACTACTATAATATTTATCATCCAATCGATAATATAAATTAAAGTTATGTAATATGTAGTTGGCATATTAATTGTCATATGATATAATAAATATCTAAATATGTTTAAAACTGAAAATATTGTTGGTTCTGTTAGGTAAATTCTTCTTTTCTAGTTTCAACCATATGAAACACTTACATTGGGTATTTTCTATTAAAATTCGATGTTTCTATTTAATGTCTTTGTTTGCAACAGGTACCTGCATAACACAAATGGTAAATGCAATGGTGCATCGATAATTTTTCGATTCTCTGAAATATTTCAATGTATTCTTGGCTTCAGGTTTCATTTATAATGTGTAATTTCTTCATTATTCTTATATGATGATGCAATTGAAAAAACGCATTTCGTCAAGAGTATTTTAACGATTGAATCAACGGTAAATTGGATTATTTGGATTTTTGCTAATATACTTAAACTTCCTGTTTCGAGCAATGTTGATTTATATATTTTGCAGTGGTACATTAGATTGCGATTAACTTGATCTGCGAATAATTTGCAAAACGAGCTAATCATTTTAATGAATTTTAACTTGATAAAGCAAGGTCTTGCAATACGATTTTCTATATCGGGGGTCGGAGCGCCTTTTTTGATGGAAAATTGAGGCTCACAGCGTCGAGGTATACAAGCACGTTTCCGAAACGAATCATGCTCGTAAACCAAAGTAATACTTTGCCTTGAATAATTTTAAAAATCTTAAATGATTTAAATAGTATACAATAAATTTATAATAAAAAAAATAATTCTTTGGTGCATCCTTTATTTATCTGTAAAGAATACCTTGGTTACATTACATAAAATATAATAAATTTACAATTATAATTATACATTTAATGTTTGCACAAAATAAATTTTGTATTCAATAAAAAAAAGAAGAAAAACAAAGTTATAAGTAATTGTTTTTAATATAATTAAATCGATATTTCTATATCAAAGAAATGTTTCCCATGAGAACACATGCTCTTATTATAAGTATAATAGTAACTTAAAAAAAGCTATTCATCTTTTGTTTTATGTACATATTGTGTGTTTGAGAGTGTGTGTTAAATAATACTAAACATCACATAAAATATTAATAGAAAATTGATTTTAATCAACTTTAACCACACTATAAATTTTTCGAATGAACCAGAAACACGCGAAAAAGCCAATTGTACCCGTGAGGAGGTTAAACAGAAACACCATGATTAAGGTGTAACCAAAGTACAGGAAAACGGAGGCAGCACCCTCGATTTGCAATTTCGAATAGAAATAATGGCAACAGTAGAAAAACAGGTAGACGGCGGTAAAGCCTGACGTCAGGTATGACCTCCACCACCAGTGGTAATCTTCGGCGCACAAATGGAAATAACACAAAAGTACAGTGGTTTCAGCACAGGTGATAACAAGGATTATGAATACCAAGAACAGGAAACCAAACATATAGTACATTTGTGATGACCAGATTGAATTCAGTATAAAGAAAAGTTGAATGAAAATGCACCCGAAAGGTAACACTCCTCCCATGACAATACCGGGAATGGGTTGTGTGTAAATCGATTGTTCTGGGATTAAACGTGGAATTTGATTGGTCCTCACTGGATGTTCTAAAGCCTATTGAAAACGACAAACGATTAACAAACGTACTTGGAAAATTCTATTCAACTTACCCTCTTTCTGAATCCGAAATAAGCTCCGACAAAAGTTAGTGGTACGGAAACCAAAAACCACAACGCTAACAATGCAATAAGCGTTGTAAAAGGCACAGCGGCAGAACTTCCCTTACTCCACAATACTAAATTCATGACGAAAAATAATCCAAAAACAATTCTATAACAAATAAACAAACACATTAATTTGAAATTCAACAGTGTACGAAACATTAATTACCCTGGGCTTAACATGGAAGTCAATAAGACATTTGATTTCCACTTTTCACCGCCGAAACTTTTATAGATCCTGGCAGACACGTAACCAGCAGGTGTTCCCAGTAAGACGTATAAAACCATGGCGCAAGTCATTAAAGCTCCTCTATTAGCTGGACTCAAGAAACCCAAGCAAGCAAAAGCCAAGGTGACCAAAGTCATGCAAAGTACTTGAACTCCAGATCCCAGCATAACAGATAGAAGCATTCCCTTGCGCGGAGGTCTGAACACGTCTCCATGTACCAGTTTCCAACCAAATTCCTCTTGTGCGTCTTCTCCGCTATCGATTTGATTATAACGTGCAATATCTTTATGCAAGGTTCTTAGTAGAATCATAGCAACCATTCCGGACAAAAAGAGAACTATTACCAAGGAATTTAATATACTAAACCATTGAATATTTGTATTTGGCATTGACTCTAAAATATAATCCCAACGTGACGACCATTTAATGGTATTATTTTGCATAAACGTAACTGAATAAGTGTAGGTTATATCAAAAATGTTTCCATCTAAGGAATCTGGTATTTGAAGTGGAGTATGTCTAGAACAATCCACATTCCTAGAACAACAGAAATATTTTAATAAATTTGTATATATTAATTAGTTGTTTTTAATTACCCCTGATGATTGATTGTTCTTGTCATAACTTTAACAGAGATAATTCTTCCTCCATTTTCCTTAAAGTTAGAGCCCCACTCTTCCTCAGCACCAGAATGGTATGTTATAATCAGATCAACATGATTGTATATATATGACCCTTCAGAGTTTACTTGATTTGTATTGCAAAAAGATCTTCCAGAACGAAAATAGCAACCCATTGGAAAGCCTGTTGTACAATATTGCCTATTATCATCAGTCATATAACAATTGGTGACTGGCATATTATCAACAATCCAATGGTGTTTGTAGTTCAATCCAATTGCTTTTCTAAGTATACTTAACTTCTGATTATCTTCGTGTTTATTTGTGTAAGACTTCTTACACAATACCTTGCAAGTTTCGTTTTTCATAAATTCGATTTTATAGTTTGATGGTCGAATTCGTTCACCAAAAACAACCTGTCCCAAATTCTCAACAGGTCCTTGGCCATCATCATCTGATGTACAAAAATCAAAATACTTATACTCATAAGGTATAACAGACTCTTCTGTGTTTAGACGGTTGACATACAACAGAACGTTTGACTAAAAATATATATATAGAAAATAAACAGCACTTTCAATGAAATCTATAAATATACCTTGCATGATCCAGACTCATCCTCCTTTTTGCAGAAATTAACAGGAGCAAGACCAGGCAAATAAAATGCTTCAATGACACTCAATGCACAGACAAGCACACAAAAATAACCAAAGTTATTCATGTTCTATAATTTTACTTTCAGCTTTAAAAAACGTGCATAGCTTCCTGTGGAAATTGTAAAGATATTATCAGTTACAGATAAATAATACAAAAAGGAATTTGACAAAATCGTCACAAAAGAAAAATTTACTGATTCTTCAGAAAAACAAACCTTACTTAAGACAATACAAATGCTCGTGCTCTCCTTCAACGGCCGTGGCTCTTATTTTGAAGAAACTATTGTATTATCCGGCAATTTTTGACAAGTTATTTATTTGACGTTTCCAATTTTCCTACGTTACAGTTTTGGTTACGTCCACCATACAATAAACTTCCTGTACCACGTTGCCAAATTAAACACTTAGTATATTTTATATTATTACCAGCATAACTTTACAATAAAAGATAATTTAGATAACAATAATTTGAAATGTATATTCAAAAGCTTGCATTTCTAGTGATGACCGTAAAATATACGTAAGGTAAAAATATATATACCACCAAGCATACAGCAAATGATAAATTTCATTGTGTCACAAATAATGGCGCTACTTTTCTTCCAATTTCTCCGATCCAAGAGTAGAGTTATGCAACTTAGCTCGCATAACAATTTGAATAAAAATAGAAATGATAGTGGACCCAACAATTCATGGAAAAAAATAGGTATATAGTATATAAACGTCAAATAAAAATTGAAATAAACAATCATAAAACAAATAATTGTGTATGTATAAGCATTAAAATTACAAAATACCACATATTGTGGCTGCCGTTTGGAGACTATTATGTTAATTCAGTGGCGATGACATAGAATGCATAGGTGATCAATTTGTGATCTTTCCAATGCTTACAAATGTCTTAAACTAAGGTTTTTCCTAGTTTATTATATTTACATATAAGTTTGAATATGTGGTTCTCATTTCCTGGTTTCCAAAATTTACTAATTTTAATTTTTAGGACCATGTCTTAAACTAAGGTTTTTCCTAGTTTATTATATTTACATAGAAGTTTGAATATGTGGTTCTCATTTCCTGGTGTCCAAAATTTACTAATTTTAATTTTTAGGACCATGTAGTTCATATTGGCATTCATTGGAAATTAGGCATTTCTCTATGTGTATAGTAAACAAGTGTATTTGAATCCGCATCGCTCCGGTCCTGATAATCTCTTATAATCACATCATTTTCTTATTTGGTAATACTATCATTAAAACATGGAAGGAGCACAATCATTGCGAAGACGCAGCAGGAGTTGAGGCAGCATAAGTTCTTAGTACCATTCGAATTTACGCAGAAACAGCAAATAAGTTTCGTAAACTTGTAGCGAAGTAAGAGCCTCAAATCTTCCAAGTGTACATACAATTAACGTTCTTCCAACGCATCGTAGAGACATTTTTACAGAAGAATATAAAACATCATACAATGGAGAATTGTTTCTACAATATGATTCTGGACCAGGGGACAATCGCATGTTAATTTTCAGTACGAAAAGAAATTTGCTGTTGTTAGCGCGAAGTGAACACTGGTATGCCGATGGGATTTTCAAAGCTGTTCTCTTTCATTTTCATTAGTTTATTCCTTATTGCCTAATAAGTCCGAGGAAACGTAAATATCTCTACTACATCAGCATCAGTTTTTTTTTTCACTTTTCATAATGTATTTTTCGTTCTATTTAGAATAATGGATTGAAACAACGTTATGAAAGTGATGCGTATTTTAGCAGCAATTGCGTTTCTGCCGACTCCTATTGTCACAGACGTTTTTGAACATTTGTGTGAAAATACTGTTTTTCCCAGAATCGCAAAAAGGTTGTTAATTATTTTGAGGATACATGGATTGGACACCCAACCAGACATCTTCGTCGATCACCAAAGTATTCCCATGAAATGTGGAACGTACACCAGCTTGTTTTTGAAGGATTACCAAGAACGAATATTTTTTGTTGAAAGGTGGCATAGAGTATTTGAGAAACAAGTCGCTGCTTTTTCCAATATTCGGAAATTTATCGATTGCATTGAAAAGGAACAAGTATTAAGTAAATGCGCATTGAACAATATTTAAGAGGAAATGATGTGAACGAATTAAAAAAAATGTTAGTGAAAGGCATGATATTGTTGATTATCTAAATATCGCATATTTCATATTAATAAATACTGTGATGTAAATATTACAGTTAATACTAACTGTGAATATTGCAAAACATTCATTTTGAATTTTTGTGGTTCCTTCGCTAATGTTATAATTAGTTAATTTTATTAACCAATTTTTATGTTGTTTATTTAAATGATTTTTACTGTTTTTGTGATACATTTAAATATTAAAATACATTATCAATTAAATCAAACATGTTTTTATTTTCGTGCTATTCCCTCAATATGATAATCACAGATAAAGGCAACTTAAATGAAAAAGAACTGATTGACGGCTGTAAACTGCTAAAGGTGAATTGCAGGATATAAATTTTAAAGATCCTATTTTAAATATGTATGTATATATATATATACGTTAAAAATAATAAAACATGTTTATAATAAGACACACTTTTCATAACAATTTTCATTAATTTGATTTACAAAACGATTAAAATTATTTATATAACGTTATAATAATCATAATTTATTACATATATGCTTATACATTCATATATGGCATAAATATATTTAAACATATAATTCAAGTGACTCTAATCATCATCAGAGTCTTCATCCTCATCATCTTTCTTAGCCTCGGCCGCTTGTTCTTTGTAATGCCTGTACTCTGGTTTCAATTCCCACATGTTCTTGTGTGGATTCTTCAAATTGTAATTGCATACATCCTTCAAAATTTCTTTCAAATATGTAATAGGTTGTCGGGTGATCTTCACAAGATCTTTGATATTGTAATACTGATGTTTCTCAAATGCTGCAAATAGCATTTCCAAAACAGAGTCCTTATCATCACGGGCCTTTTTGCCTTCAGCCTTCTTCTGTTCACGGTATTCAATCTATAAACAAGACAATCATATTACCTGTTGCATAGAAAATCATTTATAAATTCTAATACTTACATTATGTTTATGATCAGAAACAGGCTTGAATGATGTAACAATTTTATCTAAATGTTTCACCTGTCTCACAGGTACTGAAGCTTTTCTAATAGATTCTAGTTTCAACTTCATGTAACAGGTATCAGCATAAGGTCTGCATTCTAGTTTTTGAACAATACTACCTTCCATAAACAACTTTTCAGTTTCAGGAACTACTGCATCACTTTTTGCAGCTAAATAAGAAAAAATACATTATATAATGTATACAACAATTTAATGGAATTTATGTAAACTTACGTATCATATGTGAGAAAACTCCCAAAGTTTGTTGGGTTACTGTGGAAAAATCAAGACGATGGTCTTTAGGAATACTTTCTTCTCCAACTTCATTTAAATTAAGTATTGCTTGAGAAAGTGCCAGAGATACTTGTGGTTTTTGTCCTTGAGTGCTGAAAAAGTTATTAAAAAAAATTAGCTCTGATATATTTTTCTTTTAATTATGGTACATACTTTGATATTTTCAATTTTCCAACTTCAATGTCCCCTGGTGCCTTTTCCCATCTGTTTGCAATATATTTAGGCACTTTAACCAGCCAAACTCCTCTAGAAGCATTTGATAAGTCTAAATCTCTATCTATGTGAGACATGGTGCTTGTACTTTGTTAATTTAATAGTGAAACAAATATTTATAACTCTTATTGTGGCTATATCACAGCTGACCATGCACCAAATAATGAATGGTGTAAATTATGGTGATATTTATATGCTGTTTTTGCCTTAAATTTGGCAATAGAATTTATAGATATTGGTATACCTGCAAATCACTGTATTTTTAAACTTGAGATTTAGTTAAAATACTTAATAATTGAACATTATCTTCCGTTAATAATAAATTATAATTCATTTAAATATATTATAAATGATTTTCAAAAATATCTCTAATAGTGAGCTAAGTTGCATACATTTATTTCCAGTGCAGAATACAGAATATACATATTATATTATTTCTATCTTGCTCAGTGATCGACAAATTGATTAACAATATATAAAGACAAACATTATTTTTTTAAGTACATATTTCAATATGTTATTATAGTACAATAAAACATAAAACCAATCATTCCATAGCAAAAACAGATCGTTAGCCATTTCCTAAATGAGACAATACAAATTGTAAATAGATAGTTCGATTATGTTTCCTTATAATTACGAAAATATTACAATTTTTTAAAATGATGCACTACTTATTTTCCTCTGATGGTAAAAATATTATATAAAAAGATAAGAAAATAGTAGAACATTTCTATTATGCTAATTACACTGACACCAAGGAGTAACCCGCACAAACCTCCAATATTACCTGAAATTCATATAATATTAAAGTTTCTAAATTCTCTTAGAAATATTGCTGCATACTTAGTAATTCAAACCAATACATAACAACATCGGTTTCATATAAGTCCATAATAGATTGTGCATAAAATATGTGTATGAAAGAATGAGTATTTTCCCATGATTTATTTCTACAAAATAATTAAAGTTAATATTTTAAGAATTATTAGTACAACGATATAAACCTTCTTAGATTCAATTGTGCGTAATTTGCGTGGACGTTGTAATCCGTCCTGGAACACGAAGGATAACATTCGCATTTGATGGAATCTTCCTTTTCATGGTCTAAATCATTTGTTTCAATTGAATACGGATACAAAGTGCTAATCTTTTCTGAAATATAATTAATTCCAAATAACTGTAACACATGCTTGATGTTCTATACCTTTATATTTATTTAAGCACGCTATGTCTAACAAAGTGCAAACTGTATGGGGCTCGTCATATGGGATTACGAAAGGTATACATCCACAGAGTGCTAAGATCGCCTTGATTTTACAGCCAACCAAGCAGTCGCTCATCGTATTCGTCCCATACGTACTTATTTTTTCCGTATCCAGAACACAACCTCTCTAACAATTAATTACTTAATTAATAACATAATAAGAGATTACAAAATTCAATGATTACTATTTCTTTGGGGTACTTCTTCAGCGGCGCCTCGGCTTTGATATGTTGCGTGGTTAGAGTCAGGAACGCTTCGTAGCCCATACCGCAAAATACATCAGTAACATCGCCATTGGAACTATCCGGAAAAATATCTCGACGAAAAATTTGCACCTGTACATGTAAAAATATTATAAAATATTTGTGTTTTAATTATCAGTAAAATAATACGAACCAAAACACCTTCAAACATAAGATCCGAATATAAATAGTCTTCTGGCATGTTGTTAATTAAGATTTTTAATCCATTATTATAATCGAAACTGGTTGCTTTATAGCTGCTATTTATTGGCGTTAAAGGAGGTATATGCACATTGCTAAAAATGCATAAACATTAAGATGATTGTATTTTATATATTAATCATTAACACTGACACTGCGGACTTCATTATGGGCCTAATGTAATTGAACATGCAGCAGAAGCCATCGTTTGTTAAACGTCTAACAAAAAGTTCTTTGCAGTTACGTTTCTCGCCCATCCAATAACATTCTACCAACAAATCATCACAAGAAACGGCCAACTAAAATATCATATAACTATTATTTCATGATTTGTTCATTTAGAATATATTTTCTAATGATTTGGCTCACCAAGAAAGACATTTGTACAAACTAGAAGCATTTCAATATATCTTCTATTAATTATAGTTTTATAATTTAAACAAATAGATTTACGTAACAGTTTCGTTTCAATATCTTATCGATACTTACGGAATCCATCAAGAACCGAATATCTGAAATGGGATATGTTTTATCCTTTAGCAAAACATCAATCATTTCCTGCATCTCGATTCGTTGATCTTCTCCGTATAATTCGAAATCATAAAGTCTACCCATCCAAAGAACTTGTTTGTTGAGCCATTGTTCAGATTTGTTAAATCGCTTTGACCTGAAATCAATGTGTGCATATAACATTCATTTTAAGTACTGATTAATCAAAGACGTACAATTCTGTAACAAAACTTGCTACGCGCGATTTACTTAATTTGTTGTTGCTACAAATGCCGATTGCTGGCAACGGGATATTGGTCACTGAAAAATGGGTGGAAACCAATGTTGTCACCGTTGGATTGCTGTAGAATCCAGTGTACAGGTTGTAACATGTGTAAGACATGTATGCGATGAAAATTGATACTATACCAGTCCATATCCAGCTGTAATAATATTTATTAAATATATTATTTATACAATTTGCACTCAGTTAATAAATAATAAATAAATTGTCGTAGTTAAGTGATAAATGCATGCATTTATATTTAGGAAGAAGTGTTAAACGAAAGAGGAAAAAAGGACAAATAATCAACATTAGATTCGAATTTTTAGATAAAACTTTTCTTATTACGAAAAAGAGTATTAGAAAGAACATATTTCCATATATCAGCGTATTACTTAATCGAGATATGATTATATTTAGATCAATAAGAACCTATAATGACATAATCAAGAAGTTCCCCGGCCCCACGTTTTATAATATTTACAGCTTCATTAAAGATTTTTTAACGAAAAAGATCAAATTCCTATTTTATAATACTCTATAAACACATTATTACATAGTATATAATGTGTTTATAATAAATAATTTGTGTTTTTTTTTTATAAATTCAGGCACGTGCAATTTTTAAACAAAAAAACCTTGTATATATTTATCAAAGGAATCATAATGACTCAATGAAAGTATTAATTTTAGTTTGATTATAATCTATCCCTATGTATACGGAAATATGAAAAAACACATCTTACAATCGACTTCCTAAACACCATTAAACCTATATTCCTTCACCACACAACCGACCCAAACCCCCACATTCCCCAACCAAACCTTGTCAACTAGTTCAAGTGCTTCTCATTGTCATCATTTTTTACTTTGTATTCATTCTCCACTGTTTTCATTATTTTAGTATATAAGTATAACCCACTAGTATCTAAGCTTTTTTTCTTTTTGTTCTCTTCATGACATATGTACATCTTTTGTTCTGGCTAAATGAGCGATAAGCTCTCATGTACGCCACACCATAACAACAATTCTTCCTCTGTAGTATTACTCATAAATAAAGTTATATTAAATTCGAAAAAAAATAAAAAATTTTCGGATTTTCACTCGTATAGTGAAACAGTTTTTCCCATATAAACCAATGTAAAATACGATAATGTGTTCCATGACGGAAAAAAAAGTATAAGTATTTAATGATTTTGCTTTTGATATCTATTGTTATTTCTATTCTTTGACTTTTTATTCGGAGATATACAAGTATTATTAAATTTTGTACAAAAAATCACAAATAACATATCTGAACATACGTTCAGAAATATGTGTGACCACAAAAATACTTAAGATGCAATTAGAATGACCACTAACACCAGGAACTGTTTCACAAACGATGAAATATGTTTATATTACTTGTATCAATCCGGGGTCTTGGTGGAGATCTCTTTATCTTTTAATATTTGTTTATATAAAGAAGCGCGCATAGTTTGTTTATATAATATAATAATGTTTGGACACAATATATTTGTGTTTTGTATTTACAATAAACACAATTTATATTTGCAAAGTATAATCCGCTATAAACAAAGATGGCAAAGAAAATCGAAGATATTTAATATATTAAAAAAAAAACTTAATATGTGTAGACAAGTTTTAAAAATGATGTAGCAGGCGCACAATTCGGGACTTCTATTCTCCTCGACACTCGTTATGCGAAACGTAGCTCGTTAACCGAGTTATTTTTCTTACAATTAATTTTCCTCGTTATGCGAGCTGCTTTATTCCTCAACAGTTATAATCATCTTAATTCGAAAACATTGAAGCAACTGATTGTTACATAAATATTTATTGTAAATTGTAAAAAAAAATTGTCAAGAAAGTAAATTTAAAAAGTTACGAAACATAAAAATATAAGTTGAATATGTACGAGTTTATTTAGCATGTAATTTTGAAATTATATGGTAACCATTTTAATGGTAATGCTTATGATTGAATTGAATAAAATGTTGAATATATTTACTTTTCAAGTTTGGAAATATCTTTGCGCGTCAAATATTGGAATCCATGTATCGGAGTGTTATTTGCAAACATCGTGAAAACTTCCTTCAGCTCATTGTAGCAACGTCTCCACATTTTTGCTGTTCGAAATATGCTTATTTACTATTTGGTTCTTGTATAATCATAATCTATTATTCCGTCGCAGCGGATTAAATAATTCAGTCAGCATTTAATTACACGAAACAAAAAGCGAAAACAGTGAATATCTGATCCATTTTTTTGTAGTTTTGATTATTAATATGTGATAAATGCTGCCATGCCATAAATACAGAAATTATTAATAATTTATATGTTTATATTTTTCCTTTTACTATTTGAAATAATAATCAAATGAAAATACAATACTTGTAACGTATTAAATTTGATAACAATGACAAAATGTATTATTTTGTTATATAGAAATGTGATTGAGTATTAATAATTTGTTTATTAATAGTTGCAACTAGAACTTGGATTGGTTTTCTTTAATCCGCCTCTGGCTCTGATATTTTATATTTATTTATATAATATATAGATGTGAACTTAGAAAGGTTGAAAGCAACAAAAAAAAAATAAAAAAATTGTAGAATTTAGTTTGCTCGTCATTTTTATACGTGAAGAATTGAAGTGGTTTGGATGTCAATAAGCATTGTTAAATCGGATTCGTTAAAAATTAGAAGGATAAAGAAAATATTCCAATCCAGTGATTCTCAAAGTGTGGGTCGCGAAAATACTTGGGGGGTCGCAGAACAATTGATAACAGACAGGACGGTACGTTTTACTACACATACCCATTCTTCGGGTGGTCCATTAATTTTTTTTAAGTGAAAAAGAGGGTTGCGGACCACACTGATATTTCCAAAAACTATAGACATAACTTAATCTCATTTTCTACATTTCACGTTCAATTAAAACTAATGGACAAAGATTACAGTCTAAAGAAAGTATGAAAAAATTCAATTAATTGGAAAAATCATTTATTTATTAATGAAAATAATAGTGTAGACTCTGTACAAATTTTCTAAATATTGTCATATAACCGTAACCTATTCACACCCACGGCACACCAAAGTTGTTACAGATTTCCGCGGCACCCCAATAGTTAAAACGTATAGATATTATGACTAATTAATGTGATACCTGTGCATTTTTCAATGAACGCAAAAGTTTTATATTTGACTGTGCAACCCGAAGTTCTTGGTCAAGACCTTTTGAACATGACCGCTTATCAATTAAAACAAGAGTTGAAAACTTTGCTCACATGAATATGTGGTCGAAAATAGAAGTAGTGGTAGGATGGTGTAGTCGGGAATGCGAGGATATTCTTTCATAAAGAAAATCCAAAAAAAATCTAATGGAACTTCAAGAAAGTGAAGTTTTAACGTCTCGTCATGAAATAATTCTATAAATTCCTCTTGAATTTGCAGAGACAATTCTTCCGTAGAATTTATTGCATGAGTTGCAAAAGGATTTCGAATCCAATCATATTGTTCTGTATTAATAAAATAAATATAGTGATCAAATTTCTGCTAAACTATATTTAAATGTTGTTGTATCAGAACAACAATTAATTGCTTATTTTTAATCATACTATGGTTGATCCTTTGGTACCTTTCTAAACATCCTTTTTGCAACTTTTCCTGTCAAAGTTAGAGGTTTTTTTAAACCCCTATAATTTGTCGGAGAAAGTCAATATATTGTTACGTCCAACCATTATTATTGTAATTGTTATTATTAATATAGTGTATTAACGAACTAGAGACATCCAAGGCGTCTCTTAGTCGCATTATTATATAAACATATACATCAGCATAAAGGAATCTCTACTGTGATTCCGTTCGATATACTTTAATATAAACAAAGGGGACCAAGCGTAAGCATTCCCATCTATACTCCTATACCTTTACTCCGAATTCAAGTCCTTATTATAAAAACATAATGATCCTTACACGTACAATCGTAATCGATCATCTTTTTCATATAAACACATGCATAGGAATTTGTCACGGTCTTATAATAAACAAAACCACCAAGGCCGATTCCCGTGGGAAAGCTTAATGATCAATATAAACAAACCCTACTCCCGATCACAACTCCCACCGTATTAATAAGAATTAACTTTGTAAGTAGAATAAGTATTTATAATTAGTCTCAGTAAAAGCTTCAAAGACTGATATAGTCTCAGTAAAACGTTAATATGAGGAGCATAGTCTCATAAAATCCTAAGATGAGTATAGTCTTAGTCAACCTGTCGATTAAACTACATTGTCTTGGAAAGGACCCCAAGAGTACCAATTGTAATAAACTTGTTTTAAACCAATTGAATTATTTAATTCCTAACTACTGAGACTCCACAACAACAACACCAGACAATAATCCACTGTGTCCAGAATTCCATCCCTGGGACACGACATTTTATTGACCATCAATGCTTGTCGTTGTATTTAAATTGTATTATCGAATTTTTTTGGATCGTTGATAAATCATTTAGTTAGAATATTGTCTTATTTTACCTGTATCGGCTCACGGCACACCAGTGTGCCGTTGCACTGATATAACTTATATTTAGATTGATGTGTAAAGTGGTTAATTTATTTTCAAACCACAAATGATCATATTAAAAATTAAACCATAATAAATATATATCGACGGGAGTAATGACACCTCTTTTATAAAAAATTAATGCGAGATATCTGTACAAGACGCAGAGAGGACAAATATTATCGGGAGCAGCGAGCAGATCATACTTGAAAAAAGAAAAACAATATTATTACCGTGGGAACACTTATTCAACAAATTATGAATCAAACTTCAACCACAACTCAAATCTAATTATAGTGATAGTTAACTTTATCGAATAATTTTATGAAAAATCAATTAAATTCGACAACATTCCACAGCGTCCATATTTCCCATCCCTAGGACACGATAATAGGTTCAAGTATGCCGTGGGATAATAAAACAAACTTCGCATTGGTTACCTATGTCTTATAATGGCTAGATACTCAGTGCAAGGACTGTTCAAAATTGTAGAATTTTATACTTTTTGACGATGTATTGTTACAACGCACAAAAATACCGTGCGCATTTTAATGTTCCAACAGATCCCAGTGCAAACATGATTAGAAACTCAATCAGCCGTTTACAAATATTGTTAACACGGGATTCAGAAAATTGCGTTAGATATGTCAACAAATTCAGTGACCGATTTATTTCGATTAGGTACTATCTTCCCTTACCAAAGATTGTACTCCCACTATGTTAGTTCCCTACTATATAACATGATGTTTATGTAATACAAGGGAGTCCAGTCCTAAAAAGTCAGTGTTAAAGTCATAGTCCTAGCTAGTCGCTAGTGCAAGTTAGTTTTAGTCTTAGAGGAGAGTCCTCCCGAGTCCTAGTTATACTCATAAAAACCCTAGTAACAAACCTAGCAACTGGAATCTAGACATAGAAGTTATTAATAATCTTATAGTGAATAATAAATTGTTTATTACAATAAAAACTACAACTTCACCTCTAGCATTCCTTAAAAACTCCACTAGGACTCCACAACGACATAACTACGAGATATTCCACAGTGTCGAGAGATATTTGAATCCCGGGACACGACAAGGGCACGGTTTCGAAAAGACGCTCGGCTTCAGGTTACTGTTCTCCGTGGGATTTGACTATTCTGCAGTTTGGTTCTCAGTTGAAAATCCGTGGGATCTGACTATTCTGCATTTTTGTAGGTCATTGTCCTCAATGGTACACAAAACAGAGGTTGGACACAACACATTACGTGTCAACAATAAAATGGAAACCATTATTATAATAATTTTTAATGTTAATAGAGTGTATAAACAAGCTATGTATAAGAGACATCCATGAAGTCTCTTAGCCGATACGCCATAAGTACAAAGTAACGACTCCGGTTCGATACACATTAACATAAACAAAGGGGACCAAGCGTAAACAATTCCATCGATATTCCTACGTATGCGGATACTTTTTTGAATAATCCGAATTCAAGTCCTTTTATAAACACACACAATAATCGACACTCTTTTTTATAAAAATGCAACGGGCTCATAATAAACAAAACCACCCAGGCTGAATTCTGCGAAAACGCTTAATCATCAATATATACAATCACAACTCCCACCCCGTAATAATAAGAATTTACTTCGTAAGTGGAATATGAGCATAATCTTAGATGAATCTCTAATCGACCAAGTTTCGAATAAAGTTATGTAAAAGCAAACGAATTTCATTCAATTCCCAATTAATGAGAATTCACAACGACAACACCAGACAATAATCCACTGTGTAAAAAAATTCTATATTGACAAATAGTCACTGATGTGTCCCTTGGATTGTATATTATCAACATATTTGGGAGTGGAAAATCACCCGCTTTAAAACTAACGGATTGAGTCTTCAGTATACTGCAGTATAATAGTATGTCTAGTATACAAACTGCGTTTGAAATGGGAACATCTATTAAGTGAATAGTTTAGTGTTATGTGTTCGTATTATTTTTAACCGTTTAAATTTGTACAAAGTACAATAGTGAAGCAAAAATACTGCATTCAAATAAAGCGAGGAGATTGTTGTTAATGTTGTGACAAGCGCCAAAATTTAAAATTGTTGTCACATAACCTAAAAAATGGAAACACAACATTGTTTTTTGTGTAGTGGAATAAACAATTACACGATAAAGATTAACGAAGAAAATAGGACAATTCATTCTGGAACTAATTTGTTAATGTTTCTGATGATGTTGTTTGAAGAATACAAGGAGAACTTGCAGAACAATAGTGTGTGCGAATTTTGTTTTGGGACAATAAATGAGCTAGATTTTGCCAAAGAGAGAACCAAGACACTATCACACATTTTTTTAGATTACTGGAACACTAAACGAAATGATCCACAGCCTGTCATCATTAAACAGGAATTAAGTGAAGAAGTTATTGAAGAATCATATGAAAAACAATTAAAAGTAGATAATTATTTAGTAAATGATGTTCATATGAATAATAGTTCCTTGGCAGATGAACAAGTACAAATTAAAGTAGAAAATCAAGATATTTTTGAAGAAATTATAGAAGAAGCACATACTGTTAAAGAGGAGATAGACATTGAGGAGCAAATTGTGCAGCAAGATGTAGTTAATTATGAACAAATAACTCTGAATCAGCAGACAAATCAAACTAAAAGACTATTTTATTGTGTATTATGTGATAAACAGTTCAAGCACAAGAAAACTTTAAATATACATATGGGTGTACATACAGAATTTAATGCTCATATCTGTGACATATGCAACAAATCATTCAATCACAAAGTGTATTTATCTAGACATATGATTGTACATACAGGTTTGATATTAAAAAAAAACAAATACAATTTACTTCTACTAATATTACATATTTTTAATAGATACATTTCCATATGAATGTGAGATTTGCAAAAAAAAATTCAAACATGATTCATCTATGAGAACACATAGATTAACCCATTCAAAGGATAGACATTTTGAGTGCAGCACCTGCAACTGCAGTTTCAAATCAAAGATTCATTTGAAAAACCATATAAATAATGTTCACATAGGTATGTACTTTATCTTACAGATATGCAATTATTAATATCATTTGTAAAATTATAGGTGAATATCAACACCAATGTGAGCTTTGTGAAAGAAAGTTTAAGAGACGATGTCATCTAAAGTCACATTATCAAACTCATAAAAGGAACAACTTGCAGCATTTTTGCAGCTTCTGTGAAAGTAGCTTTAAATTACAACGAAATTTGAAAAAACATATTTTAATTGTACACAAAGGTATGTATATTTATTAAATATTTGGACCTTTGTAGAAAGATAATGATTTTTTTTTTTTTTGTATAGACAAATGTAAGGGCAAAGAAAATATTGAGATTCCTGAAGATAATCTGATGCAGTCACAAATCAGCAGAAGGCCTCAGGAATTATTTGAATTTTAAATAATTAACTTTAATTTATTTTTTAGATGAAAAACGAGATGTAACTTAAAATCATATATTTTATAAACATATGGATTATAATTATTTTTATACAAATTTATAATTCAAATGCCACAAGATATTTTCGTCCTTTGGCCTGCATGTTAACTATTTATTTATATATATATATTTTTGTTGATTTATGTTAGAATTAATTTACTTATTTTGAGAGTTATTATTTAGCTATTATTATCATTTATATTTATTTATAGAATGTATTTTTACTAATAACACCAAGATATGTCACCGATGCAGAAGGACCAATAGAGCTACCGCTGATCATAACATGTGGAGAGGATGGCTTAATTCGATAAAATTGTATAAATACTTTAGACTTCGCTGGGTTGATGCACATACGCCATGCACCGCACAACCCGGTCCAGAAGGGACTGGAGGCTTACGATCGATGTGACAAGTGTTGTCGAATGAGACACCACGACAGTATCGTCCGCGTATAGAATATATTTTATTTACACATGTTATAGTATTCTTATATATGAATAAATTATTTATTTTATACAGTTATGAATTTTTTATTTAAAAATATACATCTTTTTAATATTTAGATGTGCACAGTAACTATTTGTGAAGTATTACATTCCGGAATGATCTTGTGAAGTATGATCTTGGGTCGAGTACAATACAAGCATTGAACCCAATGGATGGATGGTTCACTATCCATCTTGGATGAGATTAGGGTATCCAATTCCGTACTTTTGACGAGTACCGAGATACGAAAAAAGAAAAACTAAAGTTATCGCTGAATAAATGGATTCCATATGTGAAATATGTTGGTTGTAAATAATTCATGAATATGAATGAATTTCAATATCTGAATTGGATATGTAAAGGACAATCAGTACATTTTCAATAAACAGTTGAACATTATAACAAATGTATATATGACATAACGAGGACAAGGATCTTGCGCCAAAAATTGTTTTACTATTTTTTTATTCATTGATTGGCCAACTTATTGTTAAAGAAAATAAATCATTTGATGTAATTAATAAGAAAAATAATTAGTTTGAATGTAATTGTAAATTCTCGTTAAAGATAATTTGTCATAAATATTTATCAGAATGATGGAATAATAGATCCGTATTAATAAAAAAAAACAATTGTTTTCTTAGAAATATATAATTAGTTTGTAATTGTATTCAGTGCGATTGAGGTATTATTAGTCGATGAGATGCAGAAGTCTATTGTTAAAACAAAAACGTTTAGAAATAAATTGATTTATTTTGTAAATAAAATATCACTACGTAAATTGTAATAAATGGTACGGCTTCGATCAGTCCGGATTCACAATCCCATTTGAAAATTACAAAACAAACTAAATTTTAATTGAGCAAAATAAAACTAAATTCTAAAAAAAATAGTACACAAATTTTCATTACGCAGTGGAACTTCGCTTAACGAGCACTTCGCATAACGAGCATTTCGCTTAACGAGAAAAATGAATTGTAAGAAAAATGACTCACTTAACGAGCGACGTTTCGCATAACGAGTGACGATGAAATTGTGTATTTTTGAAAATGTTTCACTATACGAGTAATACGAAATTTTGTAACAGATTAAACTCGTTAAACGAGGTTCCACTGTATAGTCAAATCTCTTTTTGTACAGTTAAATTTTATGTGTACATTTGGTTTTCTTTTTATGCGGTAGATACGTTCCACAGGAAAACGCATAAAAATAAATCGCACAAAAAAGGATTAGACACACGTATGAAAAAAGGATACGTTCCATATTTTTTTAAAAGCGCTTAAAACTAAATCAATGAGACAATATACCGAATATCTCATAAAAAAGGGTTTATTAAATTTCAGAAAAATAATTAGTCATACTATATTCTTTCTGAAATGTTTATTCATAATTTTATAAAAACGTTAACAATCATAGACAAGTTTATTAAATTTCAGAAAAATATAATCTTAACAAATTCCTTCTAAATTTATACGTGCTGTGCTGTTTATATACTTATTTGTGCTGATTCTTTGTCAATTTATATTTGTGTGCTTATTTATTTCTTAATTTATTTGTCTTTAATACCCAATACTTTAACATTTTTTTTCTGAAGGTGCGAAGGAAGTTTTATTTTTTTCTGTATTATAATTATTAGTTTTAAATATTCCTATTAGATAAACAAGTTTTAATATTGTTTCACGAAGATTTTGTTCAATTCCTTAATAAATATTTTATGAACTTAAGAATGATAAGTACAGTGGAACCTCGCTTAACGATCATAATCGTTTATTTTCCTCATATAAACTAATGTAAAATACGATAATGCGTTTCATGTCGGAAGAAATAGTATAAGTTGGTCTCGCTTTTTAATGAGTTTGCTTTTCATATTTAAGGTTATTTTTATTCTTTCGGAGTCATGCAAGTGTTAATAAATTTTCACAAAAAAAAATATTCACAAATTAGATATAAAAATACAAATAATATGTGAACACAAGTTTTGCAGGCGCTGTCCTGGTCACTCGTTAAGAGAGTCATTCCACTGTAATTACAATATTATCATGCTTTAAGCATGGAAATAATATCAATTATGATTATTTTCTATCAATGATAATCAAATCATTAACAAATATTTTATAACAATTAATTGCAGAGATGTGCGATTGCAATGTCTCTAAAGTAAAGTAGAAATACAAAGCCGTTTTGAGATAATGTAGATTTAGCAAATAACATTTTCAAATGGCAAGGAAGTTTGTTATTTAAAAAAATAATTCACGTAAATCAATAGAATAATTTGTTGATGGAAAAAGTGAGTTTATAGCATCTTAATCAAATTTATTACCAAAACTGCTCAAAACATTATTCACATTTGTTGTTTTTTTAACAAGAATCGTCCGAGAATCCATGCTAAAAGAACTCCAACCTACAGTTAAAATATCTTTGAAAATATAATTATGTCGTGACCGACCACTTTCCTTTTAATTAACGGATACTTGTACGTGTTTATTTACAATAGCTTGTGGAATATTTCGAGGAACTGTTACACATTAAATCGTATAGTTGTTACTATTTTATCAACACTCAACAACCCACTTCCGCCCCTAAATATTTGGGTAGGATATATAAACGGTTGTAACTTCCATATAGTCAAAACCGATTTCCTTTCCACGAAATAGTACTCCCACGCAGCCCCTTTTTGAAATGCATACATTTTTGTATTATATAATTTAGTCTTAGTTGGTGGTTTCAGGAAAACAATTTTTAATTTCTTTTAGATCAAATATCGTACTTTGTATTATCATTAATTGTGAGTTTGTATACTATTTTTGTTATAGAAATACATTTACTCATTGTCCCTTCACAAGATAATTGTGTTAAGTTGCTATTAAAGAGATACTTATTATTATTATATTGATACTCAAGGAAGACATTTATGTTATGTTATTGTAGGTTTATTTTATATAGATAAATAACTTTTATTTGATTTTTATTTACAAAATGTATAAAATTTGGGAATAATAACTCATTTCGTTCTGAATTTCTTTGACAAAGACTATTAAATAACAGTAAGTGGAGTAACTTGCTTGGAGGTTACCACTCCTATAGGACTTACATATATCTCAAATTTACTATTTTTATAGTGTATACACGTTCAGTGAATATATTAAACATGTACATATTCTTTGTATAATTTGTATTCATAGTATTTATTCTCTGCACATCCCATTTTTACATACTTTTCTTAATATCAATAATCATAATATTATAACTTTCATTTTAATATAAATAATATGTGTTTCTTTTATAAATTCACAATTTTATTTTAATTAATAATACATTTCATCTGACTTTATCTTCCAGATGTAATTGGGTTTTCCACGAAAAAAAGGTCATCAGGTGTTTTTCGATGTCCTCTAAAATTTCTGGTTTTTTTTATATAAAAATTGTTTAAAGAGATAACAATAGATAGATGTTCAAGGTTGTAACTTCGTCAGAATCAAAAACCAAATATATTAATACTACTTTTTTCCGTACTCGCTGGTTAAGTTATTATATTTTTAAATTAATTAAGTAAAAAATACTGATTTCATTCATTTAAAATATATTATAGTATACATAATCAAAATATTAATAATATAATAATAATAATATTGATTACAACAACGTTATTATAAAATAATAATAAATAATTAACTGTTACAAACAGCTGCTGGTAATAGGTCTCTGCCCTTATTGTAATTTATCAATTTAAATTAGTAAACTTTTTTTGATTTGAAAATGTCATTATTGTAATCTAACCAGGAATTCTGGTTCAATTAAAACAATTAATGATGAACATCTTTACAGACAATTATCATAATTCTTCATGATTTAAATAAGTTTCCTTTATATTAATAATAATTTATATAAATAATAGTTAATATTGATGAATTATAGATTGATTATATAATCAAGTTCAGTATTCATTAACAAAAGAATCACAAAAAACGGACCGGTTGTTCATGTTCATACAATAGATAATCGAGCATACAACATGAGAAATCCAAGGTTAACAAGAAAATTGCAATTAAATCGACATAAATATATAAAGTAATAATTGTTCATCCATAAATCAATAAATATTGATGCGAATAAGTTAATAAGTAACGCTCATATTGATATTTCTCTGAGTATGTTCTTTACATTAAACCATCATTTTATAGTTGTCTTTTACGTATATGTAGTTTCCCCCCATTTCGAACATTTGTATTAGTCATACTCGTTATTGATGCCATCCATATAAATACAAAGAAAAACCGCGCACATTTAACAGTTTTCAGACAGCCAGCAACAAAACAACAAATATGAAGATGTTTAAAACTATAATATTAATTTTATCAATTACGCAATACATACAAGGTAATTTTATTGAACAATTATAAATTAAATTAAGAGAATATAACACGCTATTTAACATTAAAATAAATTATACGATTTAATCACAATGGTTTTATGTTTATGTCCTCTAAATTAGATGCTTATAAAGAATTTTTCATATTTATTTGTTTTGTTTTAAAGCTTGTGAGAGTATGAATTAAATAATTATTATATAAAAGTTATTATTTTATGTTAATTTCTATTTACATTTGCTTTGTTTATATTGTTAATATTATTTGCATTAGGTGACCTCTCAGAAAAGAGGAAAGTTGTTTCTCAAGGATATTGAATAATTGTAAATTTGTTTAGCCGAATGTCCTGAAGGATGCAAAGACTCGAATCTGCTGTATGAAGGACTAGAATGTAAGCCGATATATGAGAAGCCGGATGATTGTTGTCCGATGAAATATGACTGTTCGCATCTGGAAAAGCTGCCCGAAGATCAATGCTACTTCAGAGGTAAACTATTCGGCAACGCGGATAAGTTGCCAGAAGAAACTTACGAGAATTGTAATGTTGGATGCAGGTGTAGATCTGGGTACGTATAGTTCAACTAAATGTTGTGTTACATAATTAATTTATATATATTTCAGTGAAGTGACCTGTGCTATTCTGGATTGTCCCGAATGGTTGGGAGTACGACCCGATCCAGGTTGTCACTTGAAATACAGCTTAAATAAATGCTGCGCCGCAGGAGAAGTCTGCCGTACGTGAATTTTACCTTTTATATATTAAATTGTACTTATTGTTCTTGTTATTCATAGCACCATTTGAAGAGAGCTCAAAATGCAAAGTAGGCAATGAAACGTATTTGGAAGGCCAGAGGTTTTCGCCCCCTGATCAACCTTGCACAAAATGCGTGTGCATGGAAGGATTCGCCGGTGAATTCGTAGAGCCGTTCTGCAAGAAATCAACGTGCGATACAGAGTTGAGGCATATCCAGGACATTAGGAAGAACTGCGCTCCTGCCTACTACGATAAGAACGATTGTTGTCCATACGATTTTATTTGTCGTGAGTCTTATTATTTTACCTGTAATACGCATAACATTAATTAAATATATTAATTACAGCGAAAAATGATACCATCATCTCTGCAGCGAAGCCCAAGGGAAGCTCAGGTAATTAATATTTTCATTATATCGGAGAGAAATATTATTAAGTTTGATTTTTAGATCTGCAATGTAAGTATGGCAGCAAATTGATGGGCGTTGGTGATAAATTCGAAAGATCCGAAAAAGAAAGCGATACAACGACCTTAGAAATTAAATGTGAATGCGCGATGCCACCTTTCGTTTCATGTATAAAGAAATACGTGTATTCATCGTGAATTCATTAAAATACTTTTATTACACTAATATATCATTATTTATTGTGAAAAATATTAAACAAAATAAAATAATTTTTTAAATAAGTTCCAATAATTGATTACAAAAAATCATTACAACACATTTTATGTTAAAATTAACTTTAATGTTAATTTTAAATTACATACAAATTTTTATTCATTAAAATTATTCAGTTTTGTGTATATAGACAGTTCTGTTCTGTTCTGATTCCTCCACTCTTTAATAGAGTTAATTAGAATTGAAACTTTTTTATAAAAGATTTATAATTTGTTATTTATAAGTAATCTGTTCTGTTCTGATTCCTCCACTCTATAATAGAGTGGAGGTGTGCACTTAGCTCACACCTCACAGTGTATGTAGCCAGTCAATGTCTAGTACAAACTAAAAGAGTATATAAACAAGCAAAAAATAAAAAGATGAAGAGATATAACAATAAAAAGATGAATAGACTATTAAAGACAATTACATAGAATCACCCTGCTAATGTATAAATATACAGTAAACTTATAAATAATTAAAAAAAAAAAATTCAATATTTATACAAACTCTTCACGAGCAGGGTTCCTATCAGCTCTTATCACAGAGTGGGAAGGCCTCGGATCGGTAAATAAAAAGTGTTAGAACAGATTAATAAGGGGTAACAAAGCATAAAAAGACAACAGAATAAATACATATATAATAAATATTCAAACAACACATCCAGAGTTTTTGATAAAATTTAAAATCAGTCTATATATCTTGATATCCTTCATCCTTAACAGGACGTCTATTGATGTTGGAAGGTAAACTTTTTGAGTGATTTGTCCACTTATGACCACTTTTGTAGCAGCACTGTTGTTTTCACATTCAAAAAAAATGTGATTAGTGGTGGATATCATCCCATAGTCACAGTGCGGTGAATCCACCAAATTCATCCTAAAAAGATAAGTTGCAGATCTGTTATGGCCGGTTCGTAATCTGCACAGAGCTGATATTTCAGATTTCTTAGTGAACTTTAACTCTTGAAACCATGGTATCATTCCCACTCTCAGATTGCCCTCGAAATAATATTTTCCCTTGTTCTCTGATCTGATTTCATATAGGTTTTTCCCTTTCTTCCTTGTTGATTATTTCACTGATATCCGAGAACGGAACAAGTAGGTCCGTGATATTGGCCATATGACCCTCACTCGCCAACGCATCCGCCCTTTCGTTCCCAGGGATCCCAGCATGTTCCGGTATCCAGCACAGCGAGACCTCTGACCCAATACTTTCCAAGAGACTCAACCTGTCCTTGATTTGGAGAACAATATAATTTATTTTGGCTGAATATTGCGAGGATTGAATAGCGTCTTACGCACTTTTAGAGTCAGAAAAAAACACACTCTTACTCCATTCGTTTTTCTCAATTAGTTTTAGTGCCCTGCAAATTGCATATAACTCAGCTGTGAATATCGAGGAAACCTCTGGAATCCTTCCGCTCTCAGATAGGCCTTCGCCATCAATATAAATCCCATAGGCAGAAGATTTGGGGTCATGTATCACTGAACCATCTGTGTAGATATGTACATGACCAGACCACACCACATTTATGAAAAACAGGAAGCTTTGTATAAGCTGCTGCACTGGAACATTCACATTGCACTTGTTCATAAAATCTACCCTATTCCACTTTTTGGAGCGAATATTTACAGGTAGGCCAAAAAAGTCTTTGATCATGCTTATATATGCGGTACTTCCATTGGCTCATCATGTTAAAAAAATCAATTAAAAGGGGCATTCCCTTGCTCGGCCAGAAGGGCTTAGCTCCAAACAAAAAGATGCCCGACGTATCGCATTTATCACAGGTGTATTC